CACACACATATATATATATATATTTTTTTTTTTTTTTTTAAATAACAGGGAGAAATATGGAGACTGACCAAATTAACCAGTAAGGGGAAGGAAAGGATGCAGTGGGCTGAGGTGGTCAAGGAAGTCTTCCTGGAAGAGACAGTGAGCCCTGATGGTTGAATAGGAGTCAGAGAAACAGGGGAGCAGGGATAGAATGGTATTCTGGACTGATTGTATATCCCCCGCAAATTTATGTTGATATACTAACCCCCGATGTCATGGTACTAGGAGGTAGGGCCTTTGGGAGATGATTAGGTCATGAAGGTAGAAAGAACCCTCATGAATACAACATGTGGACACGATAAGAAAATGATCCCCTGCATCCCAGAGTGGGGCCTTCACCAAAATCAGACCATGCTAGCCTTGTGCTCTCAGATTTCTAGCCTGTAGAACTATGAGAAATTTCTGTTGTTCACAAGCCACCCAGTCTATGGTATTCTGTAATAGCAGCACAAACTAAGATGGGAGGGGAATGAGCATGGATCAAGCCCTGGCACATGCTAAATGCTCCATAAACATCGGGCATCATTATTGCAGCATGTAAAACAGAGGTCACGCACTACAGCCCGTATGGCTTACAGGTGGTTTGTGTTTGAGCACATACTTAAAATGTTTAACTACTTACTAACATTGAAACATCAAGGTTCCTCAGAAAAATTTAGACTTTGAGATGATGTGGCAATGCTGGACCCACATTCCAGGCACCTGGAGCTGAGTGGAAACAGGGTGTGGACACTAGTGTGCCACAGTCCCTACCACTCCCTGTTGTGTACCCATGCATGCTTCATCTCTCTTACTACCTGATTGGCCCCTGGAGTAAGGAGTTCTCTGACCTTGGTGCCAATGGTGAGTCGGCCAGCCAGGTTGCCGTGGAGAATCTGAGCAGGAGAGAAGTGGGCAGAAACATTGGGGTGCTGGTCCAGGGCCTGATACGAAGGGCCTGGAATGCCAGGCCAAGTGGGTGGCACTGGTGGCTGTTGGCAATGGGGAGTCACTGTAGGTGTCTGAGCAGGGACATGGCATTGCTTTGGGAAGCGTTACCCAGCGCACAGCAGGATCGCATGCAGCCTCATGTTTTACTGCTAAATCCCAATGGTCCTTGAGCCGCTTGGCTTGCTCTGCTTTGCAGCTGCTGTGTTCTAGTTTCTCTGGACTGTGTCCGCCTGTGGGTGCAGCAGCCGCAGTGGTAGC